TTCCTAAATAATCCAACTTCAGGAACCACATTTTCCCAGGACACTAAGACACAGCCTTATTTTTAAACCACTCAAATATTTAGATAAGATAAACTACTTAAGTAACATTAAACTGGTAATTAGGGTTGTCTCTGTACCATTTACCATTTAGAAACTATCCAACAGGGGTCGCCAACTGTATACTGTACGTCGGGTGGCCATAAATGGGGGGACAGACACCTCGGTGGTGGGTCATTAAATGAATTATAATACAGCAATGGAGTTCAGGTTGTGTTTATATAGGAACAGTATAATGTAGCATCAGGTTAATGCAGTGTAACTTGTCACATTGCACTGAAATCTGAATCCGTGTTGTACGCATAAATATTAATTGCAAATGATACGCTAACATTTAATGTCCTACCATTTGAATGTTATGCTAGGAAAACAGTGATGTCATTTATTCTAGTTAATGTGTATTTACCTTTAGTTACCTTTAGTGTATTTCCTCCTTTCACCTCATTTTTATGGCGTGCTTTAAATGCTGGACGTCAAAATGATCCCACACAGCTGATGTAATGCGCTTGTTAGAGGGAAATAACTGTTCTCCTGCCCACTTGGGCGCACCTCATTTCTGCAGCTAGCACAGACCAAAAACAAAGCAACAAATGCTGTGTGATTAATAGTGTGATGTGCAGTGTGTAAATGTGTGTGGGATATATATATATATATATATATATATATATAAAGAGAGAGAGAGAGAGCTCAACCCAACTTAGAGCCAGTTTTCTTTTCCTGTCATTAACTGAAGACTTGTTCAACAGATGGACACATCTATTTGTAGACAGTATTTGGCAGTATGTTATTGGGGCAGTGGTTCCTAAGTTTGTGGGGTGCAGCAGGGCAAATCAATATCAATAGGAAGTCAATGATAAATACATTTCATATGTTCATTGAAAATAGCATTTTTGTATAAATTACAGTGTCACAATTAGAGTTTTGAGGCGATAGCTGTGAATGTCCTGACGTTGGGGACTCAGCAGTTGTCACTACAAAAAAAAGTATTGAAGATGGATCATAACACTCTAAAAAATATATTTACTTGTAATTTCCTTTTTTGTTTGTCATGTTGTGACATGTCAATTTATCCATTTGTATCAATTTGTCCATTTCTTATTAACGGTCTTAGTGAGATTAGTGAGATGCCCCGTTAAACATTTAATGTAAAAACCACAGCATCTGAAATGCCATGTCAGGAAACCTTCAGTCTAAAGCCACAGCTACTTCAGCCCAGTGTAACACTTTAGTTTTCACACCACACCTTTCACAACACAACTTCCTCTCCCTCAAAAGGAATTTAAAAACCGACCAAAGATTTCAGTTTACAGAATCGTGGAGCAGCAGGTTCACAGTGTTTGCCTGCAACTAACTGACGTTGTTTTATTCCACACATAGACAAACACACACTCTCTTTTTATATAAGGAGCACAGTGATTAAATACACAATGCACAACAGGAACTAGTGCAGCATTAAGTCTGGTTTAATGAGATTATCATACGCTCATGATAGCATGCAACATCATGGTAATACACAGATATATGCGTAGAACATATATTTTAGGTAAATATATGGTATTCAAGCAGTCAAGTTTATTTTGTCCACACTTTTAGTTCCCACTGCGTGATCCAGAGTTCACTTGAAGTCTCAGGTTCTGCTTTTGAACTTCCTTCACTCAACATGTTGCACAGTAACAGGGAGATTTTCTGTCACAAGTGAAGGAAACACATGACATGAGTTGTAGTGGTTTATGGACGAGGATTGAACCGCTGCTGCAGGGAGTCGATGTTGTGTTTAATTATAGCTCAGGGAGAGCATGTGACATGGGATTTTAAATACACAGAAAGTGGCTGATTACGCTGAATATACAGGAAGTGGCTGATTCTCCACTCTGTGTGGGGGTGGAGGAGTTCCACTATACTGAAGTATAGTGGAAAATAATGACATGAACCTTTTTAACAGTCATGTTTTTTATTGACAAATAGCAACACGTACTGTACATACAACATATCTGTATATTATTGTAGTATTCATACTTACATATTATTAATACTTCAAAGTACTGTAGTCATAGCAACAAGTAAATGATGATAAACATCTCAACATTCAGCATGTGTTTGCTGAATGTTGGCTTCAACTTCAGGATAGATCCATCATGATTAAACATGCTCATCATCGGTTGTGATTAATCATGATTAAACCCCACCCTCCCTGTGATACATTTTATGAATGATTTTGAATCCTTTGACATTCCTAAAAATCAAATCAGTGTAGTTTCCTGACTGTAGGACAAATATGATGATAATGACACTGTGATCCCCTTCCAATAACTTCCTGCCACCTACGGTTGAATGCCCCCTATTTTTGGATCCACTTTGGTCAATGCACCAACCATCATAACAACAGTTTTTAATTTGACTAAAAATGATTGTCATAAAGAAGCTGTCATTGCTGGTGAGCCAGCCACTTATTTTGATCCTGACTGTCTTCGGCCTAAAACATTTACGACAGAAAGATGGCGACTAAAAGTCTTACTTTGGCATTAACGTTAGCTTGTGTTTTTTTTTTTTTTTCATCTTCTATCTTTGGTTTGTTTGTTTCTTCTTAACAAACCTGTGAACCCCTGATATCATCCACTGCTGCCTCTGCAGAGTCTGCCTGAGGCTCCGACCAGAACAGATGACGCTGCAGGAGGAGCAGACTGTGCATTATTCCACAGTCATTATCATCATCTACTGGGATCAGCTCATATAAAAACACTTAACTCTGCCTCCAGGCTCCCGCCTCTCTGGGACATGACTGCAGCCTGCACCAGCCCTCGCCTCCCTCTCACCCTCTCTGTTGCTTCACATTCGCTCCGTCTCCCTGTCTGCTGTTGTTATTTTGTTTTGACCAAACACCTCACTTCTTCTCCTCTCCTCTCTTCATCTCCTTCTCTCTCTATCAGAGTCATCAATGCAGGGAAGAGCATGCTGAACGAGGACCAGGCTTCGTGTGAGAAGCTGTTTGTGAAGAAGCCGAGTGGCAAACAAAAGAACTCCACCGTGGTGGAGGACAACGGGGTGAGAAAAGACTCTCGGTTTATTGGAAAACATTTGCAGGAGAAAATGTCTGCAGGCCTCACTCCCTGCACTGCAGCAGGCATCAGACAAACACAGTCGCTGCCCACTTCACTGAAGTCTGTGCAGAACATTACAGCCGTCTTTTTTATGTATGTGTGCACAGATCTACACCGTCACGCTCACACACACGCACCACGTATTTGCCAGCCTTCCTCTCAGTGTAAATGAATTACGTCATTCCCTTCACCCCCTCCCCCTCTCCCCCGTCCTCCTCTCCTGGCATCAGTGCAGGAGGCAGATGTCTCGTTGGGATTCAAATGTTAACACGTCAGCCTGTGAACATGCCTGAAAACACAAAGGTGGTTCAGCTTTATTCTCTGTCCCAGAGCAACATGGATAAACAGAACAGAGTGTTAAGGGAGTGAGGAGAAGGAAACAATTAAATTTCCCTTCTTACCAAGAAAATAGCAATACACTGAAGTACTGCAATATTTTGTTTCACAATATCATATCAATATTCTACAGCACTGTGTGGTTTTTTATTAACAATTAATATGCAAATTTTCATGTGTGTGTTTCATTTTTGCGTTGCATTTAAACCTCTGGACTGCATACATTTGCAAGTATTTAAGAGTTAAAAAAAAGTCAATATTTCATAGTGCCTACAGTATCGCAGTATACTACAATATATCGTATTGTTGTCCCTGTAACATGATGCATCTCATATTGCTGGATTCTTACCACTTCTTACTATAAATGTTATTGTTTCTCTTAATGGCAGAATATTGTTGGCAAACTCTCTTTTATTTTATTATGACATTCTTCTTTTACATTGGTGAAACGCTAAAGGACGGCACAGGAATTCCTCTCCACTTCTGGGGTGTGTTTGATGGACACGCCGGCTCTGGCGCTGCCATCATGGCCTCCAAACTCCTTCATTACCTCATCAGAGACCGGCTGGGGGAAATCTGCCACCTGCTGGAGAATCCCACTAGTGCACCACCCATTTGCCTGGCCAAGAATGGCAGCCCGTACCAAGCAGACACAAAGAAAGGAGCTGCACAGGAACCAGAGGATCCCGATGCTGTCAACGACTCCACGGTGCGATTCCACATGGAGAAAGTTGTCAGTCTGGAGAGTCTGTTGATGGGAGTCATAGAGACGGCCTTCAAACAGATGGTGAGCTCATGACCAGGAGAGGACCAGACAGTTGTCTACAGATAAAGCTAATGAGTTAGCTGCCTGAGAACAGAAGGTGAAACAAAGTTGTTGTTTTTTTTTCTCTTTACTCCAGGATGATCTGATCGAGAAGGAGAAAACGTCCTACGCCATCTCTGGTGGCTGCTGTGCCTTAGCTGCCATTCATCTAATGGGGAAACTGTATGTAGCCAATGCTGGAGACAGCAGGTGAGAACAGCTGAGCAGCTGAGCTGTGACAAATATCCATTTATGCCTGGTGGGAACATCTGCTGTGACTGAGAAAACATGGCAAACAACTGTCCTGGCAGAGTGAAGTACGGTACTAGTACTAAAGTGAAGGACTCAGTATCTGACATCTCTGCTCTTTTGTCCAATTCAAGTTCTACACATTCTTTAGGTCCGCACTAGAACAGAGAGTATTTTGAGATTTCTAGTAAGAGATTTAGTTTTGAGTTAGGATTAGGATTAGGGCTGGGATGGCATTAGAGTAGGGATTAAGATTAGGCATACATTTGTAGTGGTTGAAATCATACCACTGAGTTTGGAAAAGTATTACGGCATGTGTTCTCACAACTCCAGAAAACCAGATGATGTGTGTGTGTGTGGTCTTGGTATAGCTTTCCTTGTGGGGACATTTGTTTTGGGGTAAAAATACTACACTTGTAGTCAATGTATAGTTTGTCATTTTACACGCAGAAGCATCATGTAACCCCACACCTGCTCATATAACTTCATTAATGGTGTTCATAACAATATTACCCATAACCTTGTCTCCCCTCTAATCCTTTTTTCTTCTGCAGGGCTATAATCATACGGAACAACACAGTTATACCGATGACTAATGAATTTACACCTGAGTCAGAGAGGCAGCGGCTGCAGTATCTGGTATTTATTTATTTAAAATGTTAAATTAATTCCATCTTGCTCAGAGACATAGTGGGTAAAAATAAAGCAAATATATTTGAATATTTAGTTTAGTATTAAAATGATTTATGTAAGTTCAAAACACAGCATTTGGGAAAAAATAGTTAATAGGAACCAGTTTGATGTTTGTGGTACTTTTGCTTCAGTTGACGTTGTACTGTACTGTGGAGCTGAGTCACATCGTGGGTGGATGGTGTTTTCATCTAAAACTAGAAGCTGTGTTTGGTGCCTTCACTCTTCACCATCCCACCATTTCTTTTCATTTACAACACATTTATTCCCAGTGACTTCCTCTGTGTTGGTAACGTCTCTGATCTGGTATGCCACTGCAGGGTTTCCTGAGGCCAGAGCTGCTGGGTAATGAGTTCACTCACATTGAGTTTCCTCGGAGGATCCAACACAGTGAGCTGGGAAAGAAGATGCTGTACAGAGACCACACCATGACCGGCTGGTAAAACCATAAGAGTCGCTGCAGCTGCTGCACAGCTCATAACAAATCAGTGACAATGGGAATTATTGAAGTTCTGTATTCAGTTGTTTGGTCTCTGAAGTAACAGATTCAGCTGTGAATGACTGAGGTTTGTCGTTGTGTTTTGTTGAAGGGCTTACAAAACCATCATTGAAGATGATCTGAAGTTCCCTCTGATATACGGAGAAGGGAAGAAGGTGAGATGTTAGAAAACCTCATGAGGTCAATCATTTACATGCTTGAAATAAGACAGCCTCAAATGTGACTTCCACGCTGCAGAGTATGTACGTCAGACGTCACAACACTTTCTTTTTTCTGCCTTTAATGATATTTTTTGAGCCTCTTATTTGTCCCTCAATGGGAATATCTGCAGTGTAAGTCTTTTCAAACCAACACACACAACCACACATGATTAAATATTAAGTATGTACACCATACCATTAACTATGTGATTCCTCTGGTGCTCAAACCCAGGATTCTCTACGTGGAAGGCAAGCGGGCTACCCACTTTACTATTGAACCGCAATTTTCCTAATAATCCTCCATGTGTGGGTTTTTCTGATCTGTAGGCCCGTGTGATGGCCACCATTGGTGTGACCCGCGGACTGGGAGACCACGACCTCAAAGTGTACAACTCCAACATTTACATCAAGCCCTTCCTCTCCTGTGTTCCTGAGGTCAGTCAGAAACATTGAGGTGGCAAAAAGAGTCAAAATGACCAGATTGGTTATTTGCTTTTATTTTATTTATTTATTTATTTGCAGGTGAAGGTCTACAACCTGGACGAACACAAACACGGCCCTGATGACGTCCTGGTCATGGGCACAGATGGATTGTGGGACGTCACGACGGACAGTGAAGTGGCAGATGCTGTGTCAACATACTTATCCTCCAGTGATCCCTCTGATCCCATGAGGTATTGAGTCTGACTACAGTAATAATCCTCCACAACCAGTTCCAGATAACAGTTGTATTTTTTGATAACATTATTATATAGGTAGACTTTATATTTGTGTCCAGTTTCTTGTTGTTTTTTATTTTTTTATTTTACTATTTTCACCAAATGTGATCATAACTAACTCAACTAAAAGTTCCAGTCTACTAATTGATCTGTACTATTAGTACCACTCTAGAAAGAAAGAGGTTCCCTTTCTTTATACTGTTATAAACGTATATTGCCCCCTAGTGGAAATTTAGAGGACAGGTTTATCCTGCAGAATTAAATGGTGATGAGTATATGAAGTAATTTATAAACACTGATATACATGTCATAAAATATATTTTTTGGTGAGTTTTATTTTTAATCTACTCTCTGCTCGAGGGTCTGAGCTGTGAGGATTTGTTTGCACTTCTTTACAAAATATTTAGAAACTGAATGAACTGATGTCGTGTGTGTTGGTTTGTGCCACACAGATACACACTGGCTGCCCAGGACCTGCTGATGAGGTCCCGAGGAATCCTGAAGGAGCGTGGCTGGAGGCTGCCTAATGACAAGCTGGGCTCAGGTGATGACATCACTGTGTTTGTCGTCCCACTGGCAGGGCATGAGTCAGAGACATGATGTGACACGCTGCAGAGGTTGCAATTTAAAGAACTGACTCCTCAGAGTCTTTTTAACTCAATCCTGGACTGAATGAGCAGCAGGGGGCAGTAGCCCTCTGATGTTTATCTGTTTTGTCACGTGACTCATTTCATCGTATTTTTCTCCCTGAAACCAACAAGAGACCAGAACCGAACTGAACCAGGTTTGAAGTGAAGACCCTGGTCCAATTAGCGCCTTCGTCCTCTGTCAGAACCTGTTCCAGCTGCTTCACTTCACACACACTCTAACCAACCTGGGTGTCATTGTTACAGGTGCCAGTCAGAGTCCAAACCTTTGTGTTTTTGTTTCCTGATCCATGTCGAGGTCAACTACTGACTGTGACATTTAAAAATAACTGTTGATTTGCAGGTCATGACCTACAGGTGACTTTTTAAAAAAATAATAATAATATTTTGAAGGAAGATTAAGGAAACCAAAGAGATGCTGCTGCAGAAAGAGGTTAGAGATGTAAAAAAATATATAAATATAAAGTAAAAAAAAAAGAATAAACATAAAACTAAGGCCTGTTTCATCACAACCTTTCAGACTGACATTTAAGTGACAGTCATTCGGTTTATGCTGCACAGATGAACAGATGTTATTGTTTGTCGCTCACCAAACTGTGATCTGTCAAAACACACTCTGAACTGAAGCTGAGCTCAAGTCTGAGCGAATCCTCTCAGTCTGTCTGTCAGCCTCGTCTAACACCCTCGTCAGGCCCGTGTGTGCAGCTAGGAGGCGCTAACAGTGATCCAGTCCCGTTCCCTTCAAATTTTAAAGCACAAGAAAAACAACAGTGTTTAAACGTTTGCATGTTTATTTTTCAGGTGGTGTGAGCAATGAGCGAGAACCCGTGGTGCAGTGTAATGTTTAAAGTAGGACTGTCACCAGTAACTGTGGAGGATTTTATTTTATTTATATCATCTTTGAATTTGAAATACAAATCCATCTGTGACTCATTACAAGTCTAGCTTCTCTTTAGGGTCAGTAAACAGAGCTGCCCACTGCTGAATGCATCTGGGGGCAACTGTTTGTGCAGCCGTCCCAGTGGGAGTGCTGCACTTACAGACCATAGATTTATAACAAAAACAACTTGTGGAAAGAAAACATATCTGTACAACAAAAAGCATGAAGAACATAAAAAAGAGAGGAGCAAACCATTGCAGAAGTGAATTTTTCCTCTTTGATGAATGAAAGAATGAACGACACCAGAGGCTCGTGACGCCTGTTGCACATGCTCCGTGTTGATAATGCGGACATATTTAAATGAGTGTTACTAATAGTGAATGTGTTTGGAGATGATTTTATTTTTGGTATTGCACTGAAGAGAAGGAGATGAGGACCAGAAGGAACATTAAGATGTTTTTATGTTAGATTTTCCTACATGTCTTTTGTCTTCCTCCCTCCCTGTGTTTGTGGAGGAGGATGTGGTGAACATCACAGTCATGCCTTATTCAGAGCTGAGTGGGATTAGAGTTTTTTTTTCTTTTCTTTCTTGCACTAAATTTGACCCATTTACCTCTTCTGTACCATTGTTTATGTTTTGTGTAGATAATTTTATTTTATAATTTTTCACAGCAACTCAATGTGAGTTGTTATACATTTATTTTAATGTTTCTGTCACAGTTGATTTAAAAAAAATGATGATTCCTAGAATTTGAACTTATGAGTGATAAAGTGAAAGGACAACGTGTTCAGAAATAAACGTGATTTGTTTTTCTCATTCGTCTCCAGTAGTTTTTTTGTACACTAGCATCATTGGCTGTAATGGGTTACTGCATTAGAAGTTCATATTCTAGCAAACTTTCTCTGAAGCATATATTTATATTCAGAATTTTTTGAGTCATACTATTAGGACCCACTGCACAAATTGTGTGGACCATCTAAGGGCCATGACCCACAAGTTGAAGACCTTTGATTTAGGGCATTTGAGTACACTAAAAAGTGCACAAGATGGGAGTCTTCAATACTGTTCTATTTGGTTCTATGGTTTAAATACTTTAGAATTCTTTTTAGAACTTCTTTATTAATCCTTTAAACTAATAAATAAAATAATGCTAAATGCATTGGTAAAGTCATTAATTTGGTTTTTAATACAATTCCATGTAAACAGACCAATCTGAAAGGAGTGTCCAAATATTTAAATATAACTTCATGTTCGCATGAGCTGCTTTATTTAGATGTTGTTTTCAAGGTCAAATCTGGTCAGTTTTTATGGTAACACAAACCGTAAATAGGGATCTAGTCTAATTATTTTTCATTATATTGAATAATTCTCCTCAACCATGGGAGATTAAACTAATTGAAGAGAGAACATGATGCATTTGGATTCATTAGACTATTCTGGACCAAACTGTTCTATGTTATTCTGGCAGATTTGGTTTCCAAGCAGGGTGAAATCTAAACTAAACAGTTACAACAAATTAAAGGCATACAATATAAAAATAAATGCATCATGACGTTAAGTGCAAGTCAACATTTCATTTCCTTGGTCAGCTGTTCTGTCTGAACAGATTGTACATTAACAGACTTTCTCTTTAACACCCTCACGCATGAAGAAGCACTAATCTAGTCTGCCTTGACCTAACCTGACCCAAACTAACATAAACTAACCCAAATTAAGATAACCTAACCTGGTGTAATCTAATCTGAATGCAATGTTTTTACTGTTGTTGATATTTGCATGTTTTCATTTTTGTATAGCGTGGATTTAATTTTTTTTTTAGTTTATTTTTGCTCAGCAACTGCGCTGTGTTGTGTTCTGATGGGTTTGTTTTTCCGTGGAGACATTCAGTTCTGTCAGGGTCCACACCCATCGCTCCTGTTGCACGGGTCTACTTGTACTACAGATGATGTCATCCTTGACCGAGGAGGAGGGAGGGGCCTGTGCCCGCAGCAGCTGTGTCAAGTTAAAGAAAAAGAAAATTTTACAATACCGGACGTTTTGAAACATGCCTTCAAAATAAAAATATTAATTACCAAACTAACTTCTTGTAACGTTTTCAATTTTATATTTTGGAGATTTTAGTGTCATTAATTTTTGCCTTTCAAAATATTCATATTTCTTTTTGGTACACGGGACATAAACACACTTAGTTGTCACCGCTGCTTTTAACCAATATGGGGTCTTTAATTTTGACAGTCAATTGCGGAAGTCATGCAGTCCTTGCCCCTTTCTGCTGTCAGTGGGAGGGTCCTGTTTTCCTGCCCCGGTTTCCAGCAGCTCCCTCCCTGTAAAATTAGCAAATACTGCAGCAAAGAAGTGAGAGTATATCAGTGTGTGTGTCTGTAAGTCTGAAGAAGAACGATCCAACCAGGATATTCTCACTGACGCCGAACAAACCTTCTCATCTGCCCGGAGACAGGTGAGAATGACCTGCTGTCTGTTGGAGACTTGGTGACTTTATTCAGACTTGGCTGACACTCGGGATAAAAAAAGGTGTTGGCTGCTCCTCAGCGGTGTTTCCTCTGTTTTAGTTGGAGTTGTTCCTTCAACTGTGGCAGAAGAGCAGAAGTGCTGAGGTTTCCCTTGTGTCTGTGTTAAAGTTCAGCTGTTGATCACAGTGTTATAAGGAGTTATAAAGTGAAAGCAGAGGACCTGGTGCAGGTCACTGAAAGACTCGGTGGATTTGAGCCGGGTTTATTTCTAACATTTTCTCTTTTTGTACCATTTCGTCTCATGTTTATTTCCTTTGCTCTGCATGTTTTCTTCTCGTAAAATGCGCTAATTTTTAAGAGATATATTGATATGGTGAAATAGTGGAGAAAACGTTGGTTTGCCTAACGAGCTTTCACCAAGGTAAATTTTAATACTTTGCAAAATAATACGTCGGTGCTGATGCCGAGGTTTACTTTGGACTGTTGTCAAATACATTATTGATTTAGCTCCCGCTGATAAGGATTTAAACTTTAGGGTTAGTCAGCATTTTTTATTGGATTTATTTTATTTGACAAATTTGGATTTTGTTTAAAAATGTGCAGATGAATTTTATACAATTTTTATTTAAAAAGCTTTTACATTTTTTGCATATTTAATTTTTTAGAATTTTGCTCATGCTTGTTTTGCTACAGCTGATAAAGTAGAAAACTATTATACTATTCCATTTTTCTTACTTTTTAAACAAAGTGCACTTTAAATCAGTTTGTCTTCAATAGGGGGCTCACAGCCCTAGGGGAGTCCACAGAGGTCCTGCAGCTGATGGTTGATTTTGGTTGGTTTTTAAAAGACCAATTTAATTTCTAAACAATAAAATGTTTTTAATTGAAGAGTACTGAAGACCATGTCATGGGTTGTATTTTCTAGTACAGTGCACCTCAATACCCTAAACCAGAAGTCTTAAACAGTCGGTTCGTGGCCCTGAAACAATCCGCGAAAGTCCTGTCAGAATGAAACTTTGGTTTGTGTTTTGCTTTTAGTCAGGTACCTTGATTTACAGGAAGTCTAAGTTCCAAAATCTTAGCATCAATTACATTGTCTTATTTACACTGACAGATTATTTCAAAGCTAACATTCTCTACTACATACTCTGTGACAGATGTGCGTGTATTAATTAAGGCTGAGCGAAATTTCCAAGTAAAGTAAAAATTTTAGACTCCGTTTCACACTCACTTTCAGACTTTTGATATCAGATCCCAGTTTGTCTGGATGGAGCTTCAGCCTTCAAAGAGGACTTTGAAGCTCTTTCAACTCTACCATGATCCTGATGAAAGCCAACACGTGTATTTACCAAATACTGTGCGCTGCTGTTGGCTTCATGTGAAATTCCATGGTTCGGCCTGAAAGTCCACGACTGTGAGTTTCAGGAAGAGGATTACGTTTTTCTAACACATTTCCTAAAGAATGTGTGAAGTTGACCTGAGCTGTTGTGTAACAGACTGTCAGCATTTCAGTCCCATGTTCTCAAACCCTGGGCTTTCTTAAAAAAAAAAAGCTGTCATAAAGATGTTTTTTTTAAGATGTTAATTTTAGGGACTAATGTGTGCATGTGACATGTTACCACTTGCCATCTGTTCAATTTAATCAGATAAGATTTTTTTACTGAGGGATTAGAACAATGTGGACAGACAGTGTCTGCTCTGACTAAGACACCTGATGAACTCTGACCTATTTCTCTAGAAGACTCAGGAGATTCAGCGCTGACGGTAGAGACATTAAAATTAGCCAGAGAAATACATGAGTACAATACCCATCACGCTGAGTCATTTTAGTGTGTATTTTTAGAGGAAACAAGTTGTCTGGTTTATATCTCTGAAATATTTTCTATTTAAGGATTCGTCTGTTCCCCAGTGGTGCATAAATGTAGAAATATAAAAGAAATATTGTTTTTTGTTATTTTGAATTTACTATTTTGCTGCATTTTATTGTACAAAAATACATCAAATGTCATATTATATATATTCTTATTATAACAAAGTCTCTGCCTCTCTATTAGAGCAACTAAGTTCTTTTTTGTGGAAAAACCAAACCAGTTAGGATGATGTTTGTCTTTTTTACATGGAAATGCTGTTCAGCATGTTCAACAATTCTTTGTATTTTACGTACCAAACTGCCATCAGAGTTAATTAAAGTAATAAAACAAATCATTGACTTATTTGCCAATGGAAATACCCATAAATTGCTTGCCATAGTGAATCATCCCACTATCAAAATGTCCTAATCCAACAGCGATATGTACATGAACTCCTTTAGTACCAGATTCCAGAAACCTGTGAAGTAGAAAAATCTATGTGGAGAAATAACCAGGTGGAAGGTGCAGCCCTGAAGAACCTGTTGGACCAGAAAAATAATGTTTTTTCCTCTGACATGTTTGCAGATGATCAGAACATCAGGCCTTTGCTTGGTCGCACGTCTGATGCATGTTGATAATAATTTGCTGTGAGGGCAGGAGAGACTCCAGCTCGACCTCAGGCTCAGGGTCATGTTTTGCTGTCGCCTAACTCAGCTCAGCATGTTGCATAACTGTTGGCCCCTAAGCCTCAGGAGGCCTCCTCAGAAAATAAGGGGGAGTTTGTGTATTCATTAACCTGAGCGGCCGCTGGACGAGGCTCAGGAAATAATGCTTATTTGCTATGTTATGCTATGTTTATTAGCACTCGGTGGGAGCAGGAATTAAACTCTGATTAACATTTTCTTAGCTTTTTCACTGTAAAGCTTAGTTTATTTTTACACATGAAATTGGTTGCATCCTTTTCAGACGTCGCCTTATGTTAAGATTTCAGCCACTAGGGGCAGTGTGGAGTCAACAGTAAGCAGGACCCTTAGTTTTTTTATAATTATAATTTATAATTTATAATATGATGACAATGTCAGTTCTTGTTTGACAATTTGTTTATTTTTTCTATTGAAATATTCTTCTATTAATAAGAAGATTTTCAACATTTTCTTGTGTGTTGTTCTCACTGTGCTTTGGGTTGAGGTCATGCACACACTGTGCACCACCCTGTCTATTGAGACCCAGTATTGGCACCAGCACTCAGTATTGGAGAGTAAGGAAATTAACTTGTACTGATACTTTTTTTTAGTATCAGTACGAGTGAAACTTGATGCTTCATGATTCAGAATGTGAAGTTACTAACATGTATTTTCCTGACAGCCTTTTTTCACCTTAGCTTGACTCACTGCTTTGTGTCCATCTGCGTCTTTCTGTGTGACAAATGAAAACATCTGCAGCCGTAATTAACTTTCATGTTTGAGTGAAGTTTGCTGACTGATGATCCTGAATCTTTTGTTTCGTCACATTCTTTTTCACGGTTCACTGAAAGTCCTGTCACCATTGCTTCCACTTAGCAGTGTGGCTGCAGATCAGTGGTTGACACCCATGGTGTCTGGACTGAGTCATAAGGGGTAAGGCTTTGTTGTGGATGTGCAGAGTGGGTGACGTTTTTGACAGCTGAATCATGACGAAGAGGGTCGATGAGAATGACGACGACGACAGTGAAATCATTAACTGTTGGCAGCCGCAAACTTCCTCCTCAGCTGTCGCTGTCAATAGTATCCATTAGTACCTAAATTGAGCATCAGTCATGGGGAGTTGGTTGCAGTGTCTATTTGTGACTCATTGAATATATCAGGATGTTTCTTCTGCCTGTGTCACTGTCGCCATGGCCTGTGTCCATGTGCAGCACATCTGCACCGAGGAACACTATGTTTTTTTAAAGAACCACACAAATCAGACCAGTGCAGTCAACCCCAAACTTTTTCTTTAGCCCCCCCTTTTGGTAGCTATCTCCCAACTATTGTTTCGCAAAACAACTTCATTTTAAATTCTGTAATTGCTACATATATTATATTTTTGTTAAACTTATTTAATAAATTTAAAAATTAGTACAATTTTTCCATTGTGGGATAAATAAATAAAAATACATAAGACTGTGTTCCCCCTTCAATAGCTTTGTGTTCTCCTGAGTGCCCCCGCCCACCACTTTTGGATGTGTTTTATGAATGGTATAGAAAATTCAAGAAAACTGGAAAATACATTAACAGTGTCAGGAAATACATTTCCTGACATGTGACTTTAGTTTTCTCAGGTCTCCTCTCCTGGATCTCTGTCAGTCTGTTACCAATGTGAATTCACGCTCAGGGGTTAATTGTCCATTCTGTCGTCCACTGAGGTCAACAACAGACCAAATGATTTGTTAGTTTATCATGAATAGTAACAACTGATGTAAAAAGGAAGAAGGACGAGACACACTGTGACAATCACATCAGTGCAGACCAACAGGTTCTGTTTTATAGAACCCACAGTTTCACAGCAGAGAGTAGTAGTATATAGTTGAGTGTGTACTGCACACTAGTACAGTAAGTTTCAGTAAACAAGCCTGGTAGCTCTCAGCGACCTGGTTCTGGTGAGGCCTGTCCAAACAGAACAGCGGCCAAAAAGACCCCTCCCTGGAGTCAGAGAACAGGAAGTGGATTGTTTGGTTTCACAGAGAGAGCCTCAGAGCGACGGCCACTTGTTTGGCTCTGAGTCTGTCATGGTGTCGAGGGCCATCTCTGCTCCTGCGACATTAAACAAGCAAGTCAGTTGTTACTGTTGTTGATTTTTGTATTTGGGAACAATGGTCCAAATAGTTATTACAGTATAACAAATCAAATCTCCCACCTCAGCATGAGCAGCTCCTCCTGTTGACCAACTTCAGTATTGTCACCATGTTTGTGTCTGTGATTCCTGGAAGTGTGTTTCTGATAAAAAGCCTTCTCCTGTTTCCCCCGCAGAGATGGCAGCCATCAGGAAGAAGTTGGTGATTGTCGGTGATGGAGCGTGTGGAAAAACCTGTCTCCTGATTGTTTTCAGTAAAGACCAGTTTCCCGAAGTCTACGTGCCCACGGTGTTTGAGAACTACATCGCTGACATCGAGGTTGACGGAAAACAGGTTTGTACAAAGAGCAGGTGACGGGTTCGCGGGTGATTGATGCGAAACTTCAAGCAAAAACTTGATGGATGGGACATGAGAAGAGATGGGCAATATGTGGAGTGCAGTACCATTTAGGGCCACAATGTGAATCTTCTCATTAAATACGTTGAATATTTACCATCGTCAAACTTGAGGGAACTCGTATTTTCCCTGTGGTTATTTAGTTAGTCTAGCTAAACCATTCTAACATGAGACAAGTTAGCTGAAAAGTAACTTTTTCAACTTTTTGTCATCTAAAAAAGTCACAAATAAGATCAATTAAAACTAATACAAAAGACTGAAACTGGAGTGTCCCAGCAGCTCCCTGAAAAACCTGTGAGCTGCAGATGTCCTGTGATGTCACAGGGTTTTGTTCTCTTCAGTTGACCACTGCCGCATTATCACCACTGGGCAAAACAGGAAATGACTGGACTTCCCTGTTTCCTGTACAGACAGGGAACAGGGACGTCTCTTGGCAATCGCCCTCTCCCTCACGTCCTCCATCAGGATCCACCTCTGCCGCCTTTGCCTCCTCCTCCCTCTACTCCTCGTCCTCCTGCTGCTGCCACTGGATAAATATTTCTAATTTCCCTTCTGGTCGCTGTCAGATGTGGGAGTCATCTGCTGCACAGGAAATAAAAACTTAGGCTAACGAGATAGAAATCAGCCCAGAAGGGAGTATTTTGGTGTGGTGTTGGCCTCTTAAGTAAATCCCCTGCACCTCCCCGGAGGAAGGCTTTACTGTAAAATAAGCCCTTACACAACTGTCTGGATAAGATTCGTGATCACCTCCTCCTTCACCTACTTATAGGGAGGGAAAAAAGCATGTTCTCACACTAACTGAGCAGGACATTCTAAAAATAATTGTCGCCCCTTCTCCCCCCCACCCCCCTCCATAGTCCTCAAAGTCCAGTGGGAACAGCACTTTTCTGGTTGCCCTTCTAGTCTCAGCAGTGCATCACTTCCTCCCACCCCCCGCCTCTGCATATGTCTATTTCAGGAGCCTTGACTGATACATGTTCTCTCTGTGGGCAACATCTATTGTCAAGCACTGGATCCAGTATATTTAAAAATAAAACACACAATGGTGAAGGTTCTCTCTGTTCTTTTGTGGCAACAGTCCGTCTGCTCTGCAGCACAGAGCTGCACCCGGAACAGAAGGTATCTGGTTTGATGCTCTCTAATCACCCGCTTCCCTTAATTCAATTAATCAGTGGTGTGTTGGGATGAGGTCAGTCTCTGAGTTAATTTAAACCACACTGACAGCATCACAGGCTCACAGTGCTGAGATCAGCTGCAGCAGAGATGAGGACAGGTCTCTGCACAATGACCTCCTGTGAACGACTTATCGTCTCACATCAAATACTCAAATCAAAAGTTATGGTCGAAACGCAAAGTATGTAGTCAGTGATGGAGGAAAACTTGTTTCTGACTTCTGGGAAAATGAAAATGAAAATGCCATACAGTAAGAGTCATTTTGATTGTCCCACAAAAGGAAAGAAAATACAAAACCTTCTGATGATGTTGTGACTGTGTTTTTTCTGGACTTCTGACAAACACGTCACACACGTCAGCTCCAGGGCAAACAGAATTTTCCTCTCAGCCTCAGGACTGTTTCCTTTGAAGAAATGTGCAGGAAATGGGATTTGTTTTAAAACAATTTTTGAATTTGTGAGCTTTTAAGTCTTTGTCCTAATTTGACTTGTAGTTTGACTTGAAGTGACAGTGAACTCCTTGTCATTGTGACACAGCACACCACTGCACACAACCAAATGTGACCTCTGCTTTTAACCCATCATCAAAGTGAACAGTGGGCAGCTCAAGCGCCCGGGGAGCAGTGTGTGTGTGTGTGTGTGTGTGTGTGTGTGTGTGATTCAAACCTGAAACCTTTGAGACCCAAGTCCACTTCCTGAACCATCAAGCCACCACTGCCCCAGTTTTCTCCTAAATCTGAAATTCAAATATATTTAAACTCTAAAACCTATTTTTCTGTGGACTGCCTCCTTGCAATCACTTCACTTGTTCACCTCTAATGAACAGATTTATTTTTAGCAAAGAGGAAACTTGAAGAATGAATTCAAACAGTCTTGGATAAAGAAGGATGTGATTAAACCTTTTTGGGAATTTCCGCTTTTGACTGTAGTTTTCATAGATATAAGAAAAGCTACATTTTAAGTGTTTGTGTTTGGTACTGTTTTGTCCCAGGTGGAGTTGGCCCTGTGGGATACTGCAGGTCAGGAGGACTACGACAGGTTGAGGCCTCTCTCGTACCCAGACACGGATGTCATCCTGATGTGTTTCTCCATCGACAGCCCTGACAGTTTAGGTAAAACTGTTCAACAGAATTCAGACATTCAATGAGATGTTGATCTGTTGCTTTCTTTTAAGTCCAACATTAAAAATGAACTTCAGAAGAAGAAAGAAAATACAAACAGAGGGCGACATCCCTGCAGATAAACACACCAAAACATTTTTGTCTTACTTTTGTGAATATAAGGTTATAAGGCTGGAAAACTGGACTGTGAGGGACAGTAGACTGATTAATGTTGTTGAGGACAACGACTGGACTGAAGTTTAGAAAGAAACTCTCCACACGTTTTACAAGACACCGTCGAGATGAATAGTACTGGCTGAAATACACCAACTTTATAAGGAGACTTTTGCACTGAGACTGTTGGATATTTTTATGGACATTTTTTCATCAGATATTTTATCTTTCTAAATATTTTCTATGTTTGATCAGTTTCAGTTGTATCAACTGTAATAGAAAAGCCTTTATGTACTAAAGTGACGTAGTGACTGATACAGCCGTGGCCTGGAGCAGTCGGCACAGCGATCTGTCATGGGAAATGTTCTGCACAGGGTTTTTTTATAGTCAGTCTCCTGAGTATTTCAGTTTACTTTTTGTCTCTCCTGGGACAGAAAACATCCCTGAGAAGTGGACACCTGAGGTGAAACACTTCTGTCCCAACGTTCCCATCATTCTGGTGGGGAACAAGAAGGACCTGAGGAACGACGAGCACACACGGAGAGAGCTGGCCAAGATGAAGCAGGTACCAAAGTACTCCTAGAAAAACTGGCTACAAACAGGAAAAAGGTTCCATTGATGGCAGGGCAGTGTGGTGGTGGTCAGAGTCTGGTGTTGGGATACGTGTCATGATGCAGGGGTCAACAATACAATGTATTGCAGTATACTGAGAAACTATAAGCATGGCGATATATTGAGGTTTTTTTAAAACAATTTAATTGTAGTAAAAATGTCAGCATAGTAAACACACACTGCTGTCCAGGCTGAACATCTGGTTACTACAACTGGAATCAGAGAAGAAATACAATCAAAATATAATGAACCAACGCCATGAATAATTGCCAGTTAATTGTTAATAATAAAAATGTATACACTGGTGTAGAATATCAATATCGTGATATTTCAGTGTATCAGCGTGTTCTCACACCCCTAGATGATAGTGAAATGTTCTAGCAGTTAAGTGAAATTGGACAGTTACCCATGGTGCACCTTGTGGTTGGGAATCACTGGTCCACAATAAAATGATTTAACGATTTATTTGAGAATTCATGTAGAATATTCATTGGACCGACTGTTAGTCGTTCGTTCCGTGAAATGTGTGAAAATGTCCACAGATTTCAAAATAATTTAAAATGAGGTTTTTAATTAAATTATTTTGAAAACCGCCTCCTACCGGAGCAGAGTTGTTCAATAAAAGTTACCGCAAGTCGGAGACACAGCTTCACAGAATACTCGTTTATTCAAACACAAGCCCCGAGTCATCAGTATGAAGTCCCATTACAGAGAAGTACTGGTGTTAAGTACATCATTAGTAATTCTCTTCCACTCCTGAAACAAATATGGAATAAATCTTGCCTCGGAGCAAGTGATAAAACCACCAGGCTGCTCCATTTTTAATGACCATGACATTGACTTTTTTTATGCATTTCCTAACAAACGCTGCTCCGACTCTGCAGGAACCAGTGAAGACGGAGGAAGGCAGAGACATGGCCGGCAGAATCAACGCCTTTGGCTATCTGGAATGTTCCGCCAAGACCAAGGATGGTGTACGGGAGGTGTTTGAGATGGCCACCAGGGCGGCGCTGCAGGTGCGCAAGCGCAAGAAGAGGAGTGGTTGCACGTTGCTGTAAAGCGACTGGAGTTTGTGAAAAGCAGGAAAAACAGCAGACAACGGAGAAGAGAATGAGTTTAAAAAGACTGACCTTTGACCAAACAGCGTCTTTCTGCTGTGTTGTGTTTCACCACCAGAGTCCAGCAGATGACTGGAGTGGGAGCACAGCCCAAACAGGAAGTGGACTTTATGCCTGTTACAAATGTTGTTAGAACTTGCTGTGTCATGTTTCTCTTTGATTGGCATTTATTTCCTGATGTCTACTCTTTCTCCTGAAATTACTTGTTTTATTTTTGTTTGTTTGTTTGTTTTTATGTAACAAGGCTACGATTTGGCCCCAAGATAACCTTTCTAATCTTCGTCATCCTGATCTCTTAATCATAGTAGCAGTTGAAGAACTGCTGTTCTTGTCCACAATAGCTGGTGCTTTTGATTAGTTCCCATCCCGCCCTCTCTGCCAGCAGGGGGTGCCGCTGTTGCACTGTGGTCACAGTAACTCCAAGCAGAACCACAGACCCAATCTTTAAGTGATTCATTACAAAACGATTGAACAATTATTTTAAAAGAGGCGGAAAAGCCTGACAAAGTGCTCGTCTTTTGCTCTAGAACCAGCAGTGACAACAACCACGAAATTCAAAGGGTACCCAAAAATAGAAGTCAAAACCAAATTGTACTCACGTAAGACATTTTCTGCCCTTTAGTTTTTCGTCTTTTCTGAGCGTCGCTCCATGTTATTTGTGGCAACTCTGGCATCATTTTGCCACAATAGGCGTCCTTGTTAAACTGTTCTTGGAACCGATGATTAGCTGTGGCTAAACTACCCCGAGCTTCAATCCAGGAACATTTTAATTGAAACATTTTCCTGGTCAACTTGAGTTAATTTATCGATTAATCATTTTAGCTCTTCACAAAGGTTTGTTAACTGTGTGATGAAATAATGGTCCAGAAAATGTCTTTCGGAAAGATCCGGTCATTCAGGTGCAACATTCACAGTAGGGTTTTTGGGGCCAGGCCCACGGTGCACAGTAGATAGACAATGTTAGACCCAGGGGAGACAACACAGTTGGGACAGAAGTGAAACAACAGTTCAACTCGGCTGAAACATTCCCTCCTTGTTGATTGCCTGTGGCTGCGATGTAAACCTCCCAATTACGCCTGCTGCAGGCCAGTCCGACGGGTTAGCCCATTCTTGGAAGTGTTGTCTGCTGCGTGTGTGTATGTTTCCAGTAGGATGACATTCTTGACATGTTTGAGCAGAGCTGTGTGTGTGTGAGAGAGAGAGAGAGAGAGAGAGAGAGACACTGTTGTTTTCCCTGGTGCCTTCACTGTTCTGTTGTGCCTTTTCTCATCTTTCTTCCCAAACCTGATGGTGCCCCTTAGCTCGATGCTAACTTGATAGCATCTGTTTGAGTCTTGTAGCTGAAAAGCAGCTAAACACTACATTTAGTTTCAACCTCATTATTTTAAAAGGCAGAGCTGAATCATGGGGATTTCTGCAGTCACACCCGGGGAAACCTGTCTGCGGTGGCTCAGATGCTTCGTCATGACCTGCTGTCAGAACTCATCTGTTCATGACTCAGCATTTGCATGAGGGTTTTTTTTTTATTGAATTTATTTTCATTTGCCTGCAACAGTTGACAGAACAGCCCAGAGAGAGGGAGAGAGAGGGAGAGAGTCCTGATGGCACCGACTCTCACCACTTCACTTTTACTCCGTCAGTGGCTCACACATCTGCTCTATGTGTCTTCTGGCTGCATGTTTACGTCAGACTGTTACTCAACTTAGGAGAATGGAAAACTCTAACCGTTTGTGTTCAATGTGTGCGTGTGAGCGCGTGTGTTTTCTAAGAGTCTCCCAGGACAAGCACTAAACACCAAGTCTGTACCTACAATAAAGGTTTAATATGAGCTACCGCCCTCTAGCGGCTGTAACTGAACAACGTTCTTGGTAGATTACCGTCTGCAATGCGTGATTGTTTTCTCTTTGCAGAAAAAAACCAAATTGCTTATAAACACCTCAAATACACACCTCATCTCAGTACCTCAAATATAAATTAATAAGTAAATCATTTTTTGTGTTTTAACGCAACTAATAGCACAAGAAGAGATGAAATACTTTGCTAAATATATAACAACAGTGTGTTTAACCACAAGCACAGAATAAGTAACCTAAAAAAAAACACAATAACAATAATAACACAATTAACAATAACAAAAAAAGTTGGAATATTTGCAAAATTAAAATTATGTTTCACCAAAGTAATTGAAAAGTTGGAGATATTGAGAAAATGTTTTCAGTAGCAACAAAGTTTTAAAGTCATATAAAGGTAGGAAACATTTAACGGCTGCACAACTCAAGGATTCAGTGATAATTTACAGTAATTTATTGGTAAATGCCCTTCACTTTTACTGTGTGCAAAAAAGTTCTTTCAGGGTTGCTGCATGTCATAAAAACCCAGGGTCTCACACACACACACACACACACACACACACACCGCCATATGTGAGAATTGTGCTTTCTTTCCTTCTCTCAGTAAAATTATTAAATATCTTTATCTTTTTTCCTGTTATTGTACTTTTACTTTGTGAACAGGAAGTGATGTAATGAATGTTTGATCTTAGAGTGAACATGAACATTGTTAATAAACTATTTTTGAAACAAGAACAACCTGAAGGTGGATCTTGACCCTGGCTCTGTCTGACACTGACGTTTTTTTCAGCTTCTTCTCCAACACTGGCTTAGTGTCAACTGGACACTGACAAACAGGAGTAAGTGGTTATTTGTCCTCACATGATGGATGAGTGATCGGGTGTGGACTGACGACCTGACCATCAGACACACCTGTGTGAATGCAGAACACCTGCTTATGGTTCCTCCAGCTGATAAAAGACTCAGCTCCCAGTCAGCTCAATCTTTTGTCTCTCAGCAGAGCATCTCTGTCGACAACTGTCAGCGGTCTGTGGGTTCTTTAAAGTTAATTTTCCTGTTTATGTTGGGTTGTGAAACCTCTCTGTTGTTTGCTGGTTTACCTGTCAGGCTGTGATTTTAAAATTAGGCGATGACAGATGTGAAGAAGGAAACTGTTGCTTTTATCAGCAGTTTCAGAAAACAGTCTTGGTTAGAAGCACACACACTGTGAGGACTTGCTGGTGACGTCAACGTCTTCTGTAGCTGGTTGAGCTGCAGACTCAGGGTTGTGTCTAATCAGCTGACGACTCATTCAGTCATCTGCTACTTTAACAATTTCAGACATAGTTGGAACTACAGGGGGCAGTAGAACGTTCGGTAACAAGTCAAGTTCTTAATCAGAAGGTTCTCAAGAGTATTTGTGTTCCAGTTCCTGTCACTGACTAACACAGG